GCATGTAGCATACAAGACTTCCCAGGTGTCTGCTGGCTAAGAAAGCCAGCAGACACCTGGGAAGTTTTATCACAGCTTCATACAGCAAAAGGGCCAGCACAATGCTTGAACTTCAAGCCCCATGACCTGACTGCAGATGTCACCCTACCTCTGTCCCCTCCTCGATCTCCTCTGTGTCCACGATTTCCGTCCGCCACGATCTCACCTCCAAACCACGCCCACTCCTCTTCTTAACCAATCCAGAGAAGGCAGCAGGAGTGGAACCCCACCCTTTCGGCTGTCTCCGCCTACCATGCCCAGGGTTTTGGAGACTGATTGTTACGCCCCATCAGCTCGTCCACCCCAGTTCCCTGGTATAAAAGTATAGCGTGCGCATCTATGCCGGGACCCAGGAGGATTGTAAGACCTGCTCCTCACCGGGCCCCATCTGTCGCGGGCCCCATAGCGCCCGCATGGGTCGCTATGGCGGTAGTTCCGCCACTGGGTTAAACAGTTCTAATGTATGAATTTCATGTGTGCATTTACCCGTTTGCCTAAAGTTCAGCTTTCATATAGATATAATGTAAATTCATAAAAAAATTTATACATAGAATAAATACCTGTGTGTCTTGATGCCTCCTGTAATCCCCTTACATAACAGCACTAGAGCTGGGAAAGGAAGGCACATTAGCCTGATATGTTTAGGGATCTACTACTATGAACAGTGTTGTCAGTAAACCATGCTTACAGAAGGGGAGAGGACAAGTATAACCTCATCCAGGTTCTGTTCCTTTTGCATTGTCCAGAGCTAGGGAGCATTCCTTATTCCCTGTGTAGTTTGCAGAGGGGTTCTGGCTTTATGATCTGTCAGTGGTATCTGGGTCACATGACTAACTTAATTTTTTTTTTTTATTATATGAAAAACAGTATAGTTCACATATTATTATTGAAACTGTATATTTAGTTGTGTGCTTGGAATTCCTTGCATCATAGTATTTTATGGGGTGAATTTATCAAAATCTGGAGCAGATGTGCATGGCAACCAATCAGCTTCTCTGTCTTATTTTCAAATCTTACCTGTGCAAACTGAAGAGAGAAGCTGATTGGCGGCCATAGGCAACCACTCCAGATTCTGACTGCTCCAGTTTTGATAAATTGCCCTCTATGAATATAGCTCTAATGCTTTTCTAAAATGAGGATATTTTTACTAACTTACATGCGTTAAATAAATAGCTATTATTTTTTTCTTTTGCAGTGCCTGTTACCCAGGGAATGTAAGCCTGAACCGCAATCTTACCTATAATCTAATACACAATAGACATCAGAAGAATTATCCAAGCTTTGAGAACTCAACTCTGTGGCTCCTTACTGCTGTACACCTGGTCATCCTAGCCTTTGTCTTCTCTAAAGGACAACCATTCCGTAAACCACTGTATACTAATTGTAAGTGCATTGATGGCCTTGGTTTATTGGATCAACCAGTATAACAATCAATAATGATGATAGTGTATGCTATAAATTCTACAAGACTATCAGAGGGTTATCCATCTGCATAGTGTGTGGCAAAATTTTGCATTACCAATTTGTGGCTATGCCTCAGCTCCACCAGTTTTGTAGATGTGTACCATATACATTGTTGCACAGAGGGTGGAATTCATAAAAACTGGAGCAGACAGACTCATGGCAACCAATCAGCTTTTTTCTTTAGTTTGTTCAGTTAAAATGACACTAAACTCAGAAGTTAAAGCTTAAAAATACACTCAAGTACCTTAACTATTAACAAAAATGTATCTTATTTGTGTATCACTCAGCTGTAGATCCTCAAATCATCTCTGAATTGGTGCTGACACTGTCCTTCCTGCTGGAGGGTGGCTACTTATGTTCCACATGGTCCCTGTGTGTGTTGTACAATAGCCACCACTCCATGCTCACTCCTGTAATGGCTTACAATCTCACATTTAGTTTGCTAATTTGTATTGAGATTGTAGTCTATCACGGCAGTAAGCTTGGAGTAGTGACTTCTTTACAACACGCACAGAGACCATGGGGAACAAAAGTCGTCACCCTCCAGAAGGAAGGACAGTATCAGCATGAATTCAGAGATGATTTGAGGCTCTACAACTGAGTAATACACAAATAAGATACATTTCTGTTAAATTGGAAGGGAATTGGAAGAACTTTTAAGGTTTAACTTGTGAGTTTAGTGTCACTTCAAGCTTTGAAAATGAAACAGAGAAGCTGATTGGTTGCCATGGCTAACTGCTCCAGATTTTATGAATCCCCCCAGAGTGTTCTGGTTTAAAACTCTTGACCAAACTATTTGACCAAATAACACATGGAGGGGGGTTTATCAAAACTGGAGCAGACAAAATCTTGAGCAGCTGTGCATGGCAAGCAATCAGCTTCTCTTTTTCATTTTCAAATCTTAACTGAACAAACTGAAGAGAGAAGCTGATTGGTTGCCATCGGTAACTGCTCCAGATTATTTCTGTTTCCAGATTCTGTCTAAATTCTGGTGAATTCCCCCCATGATGTCTAAACTCAGTGCAAGTCTATGCCACTTGCATACAATATAGACACTTGTAGTACTGATAACAGTTAGGATTGTTCATACATAATTATGTGTGAAATACAAAAATCAGTGAATACTAGGAGTGAGTGGAATCGTTTTCAATCAGAATGATCTCAATGCGTTGTTAAAGTGACATTTGCTTGACAGATTTCTATTATTATATTTAGAGGGTGTGTTTTTATTTATTTTTTATTTTTGGGGGAGGGGTGTGTGTGTTTAGAGTAGGTTAGATACTATTTTTATTTTGTGTTTTTTGTATTTGCTGTTTTTCTTTTATTTGTGTATTTAATCTTTTGTGTACTTTCTCCTAATTTGTTTTCCTTTCTCTAACTAAAACTTAAAATAATGAGGCTAATGAGGAGCCTTTTTTTGGTCCAGGATTCAGAGAAGCTTATGGAGTTTACTGCACCCCAAAATTTAGCGAAACACCTAAACTTTGCCTTCCCACTGACTCCAATGGATTAACCAAAATGCAAAATTTGTCTGACATCATCCACCTTCCAACCAACTCCTGTGATTACTTTCCTCCTTGTGTGTACATATAAATTTTAATCTTGTTCTTCTTTCTGTGCTAACAAATTTGAGAGATGAAGAGCGCCCACTTTGCAATCAGTAATATAAACAACAACATAGATTTACCAGCCTTGTATCAACACAGATATGCACAATTTCAGGTTACAATCTCTAGTTTGATTGAATACTAAGATTCATGCATAGAGTGCATTTACCACCCCAGTGAGACAAGGTCTTAGGCTGGGTGCTTGTTTACTACAAAGTAAAAGGTGGATGGTGATCTTGCTTTTGTTATTTTGTAATTTGCCCTATTTATCATGTTATGTTAAATTATGGAATCAACAAACTTTGGATGGCTTGTTCACTTTTTCAATTTTCTTTCCCTAGTGAATATAAAACAAAGTGACTTATACCACTTCTCTCTGCAGATGTTTTTGTGGCTACATTGGTGGTAGAGTTTACCCTCACCCTGTTCTTTATATTTGCTGACTTCAAGTATATGTATGTTGTTTTAGAGGTAGGTGCATCATCACAAAATGATGACTGTTTTGCCTGAATATTATTTATTACTTTTTGATGAATGTCTGAAATTAATATCAGTATTTCTTTTCCCCAGCTTGTCTGTACCCCAACCAGCTGGAGAATCCACATGTTGGTCATGCTGATCATATGTCTTGTGGTATCATTTCTGGTGGAGGTCAGTAGCACTATAAACTAATTTTTACAGTATATAGAATATTCGAGTGATATGAAATTATATTTCAGCTACTAGATGACTCCACTGGCCCAATTAAAGTCTGTTTATATCCAGTATACCCGCATGTTAAGATTTGTGACTAATTTTTAAATGACATGAAATAATGTTTTCTTTTAGTAAAAATATTGCTTTCCACCCTCACTCTGCAGTGCTCTCTGGCAGAGCTGAGAAACAGCCACACCCCTTGTATAGTGTCCTCACATGGACCTGTATTTCAGAGCATGGAAGGGGGGGGGATATGTCAGACCCAGGGCCGGCCTTAGGCCTTTAGGCGCCCTGTGCGAGAAAGCTTTACAGCGCCCCTCAGTGACCACACTGCACTGCTCGCACACCCCTAAGGCCGGCCCTGGTCAGACCAGTTTCTGTTACAGACAGCTGATTACTGAGTTCACTGGGCCTTCTTCTGGTACCTACTGGACTGCACGGTCATATTTATCCTTTTTACACATAAATGCCATACCAGGAAAATAAAGGCAACAGAATGAAAATGGAGGTTGTACATATAAAGTCTATTAGATTGCATACCTATTTCTGTGACTTAAATAGCTATGGTTCTAAAAGCCATGGCAGGTGTCACCAGCCTTCACAGTTCAGGTTTTAGCTTCCACCACATATAACAAATTGTCACATTTTAGCTCATTTATTACATCAGACATTAAGGACCTGATTTACCAAGGTCTTAAGCTTGCTCTCTGGACTATCAATCTTTAGCAGCATGGATGATTTACCCTGATTTACGAAAACTGAACTCAATGTGGATGAACATGACATGAACCTGCATACTTGGCATGGGATTATCTGCATAACAATCAGCACCAACCTGTTCCTGAATGTGCACCCTCTTGAGTTACAGGAGCAGACAGGCAGGGCTTTTAAAATCTGATATCTTTATATATACAATGTCTTGGTGTCATTTTAATGGTGGATTAATTATTCAAATGAATGTAATTAACATGTGCTGCTATTCTGTGTATGAAGTAATCACCTATATATTTACCTGTTTAGTATCCCTTTATGGTGCTCACAACCTGTTTTTGATTACCTGTAATCTGACAACACTGTTATGCCACTTTAAAATATTCTTGTACGATCAGGGAGTGCTACAATTAAAAAAATAATCTCATCTATAGCTTTTAATATTAGTGGAACAAAGTATATGAAATTGAGTAATACTCATTAATGTTAATGCTGCTACACTCAGCTTGCATGCATGTTTATAAAGATCTTTACAGGTATGCAGGGCTGGATATATACTTCTACCCCATTAGCCCAACTGTCTTGTGCTGTATTTCTTCTATCCCAGTCGACCAGCAATCCTTAGTATCAATCTAGCATTATCACATACAGTATAACAGCCATACACACATGAAGGCTGAGAACAAAAAGTCTGGAAGGGACTGTGTGTCTACTCAGTATACTTAGGTTATAGATGCGTATTCATATTAGGTGGATTTGACTTAGACTAGTTGCATTATTATTATTATTAATTATATTATTCAGGATTTGTATAGCGCCATCAGTTTTACAATATAATGATCTGCAGTGGCTTCCGTTGGGATGCTGGCCTGCTAAAACAGTGTATCTGCTTACAGAGGTCGGGATGGGAAAGTTGGAGAAAAGGAGTTTATTTGAAGTGCAAATCAGAGGTTGAGGGCAATTTAGCTTGAGCAGGATTTATGGTTAGAAAGACATGAAACAGGCTCCTAAATAAAGCTATCACTTAAAACATCGGACATAAACAAACCTAAATACTAATTAGAATAGTACATACAATTATTACAATTAATTGTGTAGCGCTAAAGGCTTTAAAGTGTGTAAAACCAAAATATGTGTGAAGTGAAATATATCTTTATAAATTGTGTCAATAAATCAGTGTGCTACACTGATTTATTGACACAATTTATAAAGATATATTTCACTTCACACATATTTTGGTTTTACACACTTTAAAGCCTTTAGCGCTACAATTGATTGTTCCATTTGAGGTGCACCGCCTAAGTTTCAGCAGCTTCTGGCTTTGTTCGACTTCCTTTTTTTCGATTTGGATCCAGAAGCGCAGGTTTTCTTGTTTTATAATTATTACAATTACATTAAGAATAGGTGAGTTGCAGAAGTAAAGTTTGTAAGCATTCGGTATGATGAGTTAGATGTTCATATTAAATATTCCATTCACCTTGATTGTGAATTGTTGAAGTGTTTAGTTGAGCTGGCTTCAGAGATGTTAATGGGTGGCAGTGATGTTACATAGTTATTCAGGTTGAAAAAAGACACAAGTCCATCAAATTCAACCTTGAAGAGGTTGTTTGGTTGTAATCTTTAACATTTTACAATGCCCAGCTTCAATAACTGAGCCTCATTGGAATTTTGGGCAGAGCCTTCATGGTAAAATGAATAACCATGAGCAGGATGAATGTGCTAAAGGTAAAATTGTTGGCTGCCCAAAGCAACCAATCAACTTGAGTTGGAAGCTGATTGGTTGCTTTAACCAACAAGAAATTGTACCTTTAGCATCCTTTTCATGTATCCATTGTGCACCACTGACATAATCTCAATGCATTCCCAATGTACAGTATTTGTATCTCACTGTTCAATAAATATTAGCCTACTTAAAAGAGAACTATGGGGTAATATTTTTATCCCACAGTTCTCTTTAGGGTCACGGGAGGACATATAGTAATGTCCTCCCATGACCCAAAGCTCAGTATATAGCGAGCTATATATGGAGACCGCCGAAGCCAGGACGGATGCCGACAATACTTTCGAGATCCACCCAGCTGGCTGATTGACAGTGGGCTCTGCCTGTCTAGAGGCAGAGCCAGCTGTGCCCACCCCCTCCCCGTCCGTTCCTCCAGTCAGCGCTGGATGATCGGAGTGGGGAGGGGGGAATCCCTGCGGGGAGCGGTGACTGACAGTCACCATTCTCTGCAGGGAGATGATCGGGAAGTGACGGTATGTGTTCGCTCACTTTCCGATCAATAGAGCCGACGTGTGACAGTTTTAATATTACACATCGGCTCTAACTATGAGGATGAGTGTAAATCACTCACCTCATAGTTCTCCTTTAAAACTAAAATACCAGCAGTTGCTTTCAGAATTAATATTCAGTCAATAAAACAATAGATCTTAGAACCTACTAGAATGAATGCATGCTTTGGCTGTAAATCAATGATTCTCCATAAATGTTTAAACTGTATAGTTATTATATTTATATTTTTAAATATTTCACTTCTCTTTCTAGGAATTTATTCTAGATAACAGAGCCCTTTGGTTGGCCTTGAAGAAATGTCTAAAATTAAAACCGGGAAGTAACTATAAAAAATTAAGAGCTATATTAGAGGAGGACAAACAATGGCCACCCATTGGAAAAACCGTGTTTGGGAAAAGTAAATTGACCAACGGAGACTCTAAAATGTACACTAACCCAGCCTATGAACATGAGGAAGTTGTCTCAAATGGAAGGAATGGGATACATTGATGTTAATGGAAGACGTAAAGAAAAAAGTGAAGGGTCTATACAGCTGTTGTATGAAAAGCAAATTACATTTTACTAAATCGAAGCATGCTACTACACATGCAGTATTATGTGAAGCTCCATTTATCAGCTGTCATTTTACATGATAAACATACAAGGCTTGATTTGCTAATATCAGTGGGTCACGTATCTCAGTATTCAGTATTTACTAAAGACAATAAAAATCAAAGCCCTTATGGTGCAAATTGGCTTTTATACAAGTATATAACTCTCTCACAAATCTATGATTATGCAGCATTCCATTGTAATTGTCGCATATTTGGGTTCTGAGTCTGCAAACAATTGTGCCCTAGGAGCAGTTGTACATGAATAAATCCATTGTTTAAAAAAAAGAATAAAAAAATTCTCATTATGCATTATACTGGATACTTTTCTTTTAATTATATACATTTTTAAAAGATGTTCATTGTCAGTAGAAGTATTTAAAAATGACTATAATGTTACTTTGACATTGATTGTCCTCTACAACCATTCAAATAATAGAACACTTCTCTTAAAGTTCAACTAAAGCCAAATGCTTTGTTTTGCTTTTTTCGATAGAGTGGAGAGGGATTCATAACCAGCTTTTATCAATAGAATTATGAATAAACTCCCAGACCGTCCTTGGGTAAATACCCAGGGGGGTCAGCAAGCACGGATAAGGGCTGGTCACTCCCACAACAACACTTGAACAAATGAACCAGAAAAGATAGTAGGGTTTTGTTGACTCACCCTTAGTTGGAAATGTTAACACACAAACATATAGATAAAATGAAAATATTGTATTAATACATTTTATTAAAAGCATGTACATTTAAAAACAAACAGAACCAGGACACAATACCCTTGTGACTGGCCTACTAGTCCCACATCAATCAGCACCTCTGAGAAGACTAAGATGTAAATAAAGTCCAAACCCATAAAGGGCATCTGTAGACATAGATGAGCCGAGGTCTTGCGGTGCTGATTGATGGCTTTGTCTTGACGCATTTTGCCTGTTAAAGGCTTCCTCAGGAGAGGGACTTAGTGCCTAAAGAATAAAAAAGGCTATGCCAGGGGCACTAAAGGATATCCTGATCCCAATGTTCAAAACCATGTCCCCCCTCCACCAACATATAAGGGGGGTGCCCTAGACCACAGGAGGGGCAAAGCCCCACATGATACCACCAGGGTGCTGCGCTACAGTCACTGAGGGGGATTTAGCAAAACTGGAGCAGGCAGATACTGGAGCAGTTGCCCATGGCAACCAATCAGCGTCTATCTTCAGTTTGTTCGGTTAAGATTTGAAAATGAAACAGAGAAGCTGATCGGTTGCCATGCACAGCTGATCCAGATTTTGTCTGCTCCAGTTTTGATAAATTCCCCCCAATGTGTCCTGGTTCTGTTTGTTCTTAAATGTACATACTTTTAATGAGATGTTTTAATAATATGTTGTAATTTTATCTATATGTTTGTGTGTTAACATTTCCAACTAAGGGTGACTCAACAAAACCCTACTATTTTTTCTGGTTTATTTTTTCAGCTTTTATCAATGTACAATCTTTATCTCCCTTCAATATACAAGTGTTTCAATACCATACCCATGTACCATCCTGTAATTTGTTCATATTCCATTGTCTTATAGCACAATAAAAAAAGGAGTTCTAATAAACCGGCAGGGGTTCTAATTCTAATGCTTCCCACCCACTATCCAAAACCAAAACAAAAAAAGCTGGATACACAATATACAATTGAAGTTTAGCTGATAATGGTGCAATAAAGCATAAGTTATCAATGTCTGTTTTTTTTTTTTTGCAAAGCACCACCTGCATAAAATCTAGGGCCCTGCTCTGAGCTGCAGAAAGTGACTCTTGCTCTCTGCATAAAACCAGCTGTCTCTCTGTAGTGGTCTCCTTCCCTGCTTATTCAGGCCGACAGCTCTGCAATCAACAAAGCTCAGAGCTGTAGGACTGACTAAGCAGAGGGCATCTTGGACTGCTGCTACCAGAGAGCAGTGGGTTTTTTCTGCAGCTCATACAGGTACTGGATTTTATTCTGGCTCTGGGGATGCTTTACAAAGAAAAAAACAAGTTAAGAAATTGACAGCCTTCTGTTTTGTTGCACCCTGATTTTTCTTTAAGCCATCTTTGGATACATTTTATTTGAGCTTTAAGATCTATGTTTAACATACACTTTAAAAAAAGCTAGTAAGGTTATTTCCAGTTTTGCAGTCAAATTTAGGAAAACCCCTCCATATGTTCGTTATGTGTTTCTATCCACACAACATACTGAAACATAACGTTTAAAAACGGTTCTTATCTTTTAGATGCTCTGCCTCCTGCGACATCGACTGATGACAGTGGGCCCCGCCCCGTTTGGCTTCCTGACAGTTTCTCTTCTCCCTGCTGGATGCTGCTCTGTGTCAGAGTGGACACAGAGCAGAACAGTGCCCAGTGGGGAGGAGAGAAACTAGAGATGCACCGCAATTTCAACCACAAAATAGTACAATCTCTATTTTGCCCAAAAGAGCCATTTTCAGCCAATATGTTTTGGAGGCCGAAATTTTAAAGCATCCCTAATACTTACATTGGTCCAGCTTGGCCCAGTGTATGTATACATATGCCATACCTAAGTGGGCCATAGGGATCATATAAAGCACTGTAGTAACCAAATCTACTACAGTGCTTGCAGTGTCCTTGGGGGTCCCGTATGGTGCTGTGTTCTTTTATGCTCTGAAAACAGCCGGGGTAATTTTTTTGAAGCAGCAGCCATTCAGAAAATGCCTTGTATTTTTATCAATCAGAGAACACCTTATATTTATTCATAAAAATGCAAGACCTTCTCTTAGTGGACACTGTGCTGACCGAGTTACCCCCTTTGTTTTCAGAGCAGAGTACCAGCACTTGGAAGATCATTGTCAGGCTTAACAAGATCTCCATGGGATGCTCAGGTATGACATACTTACATGGGGCCAAGCTGGCATAGTAATTTATACCCTGCGCTTAGCTTTATCTATAAGAGTAGTGGCATGGTCGATTTGCTGAATTGCGAATGCAGCAGTTATTCCATTGGGAAAACCAAATTACTTTTTAAATTCAAGGTAAGTTACCATATCTCTGACATCATTTTATAAAATTTGCACACATACTGTATATCGCTAGAAATGTTTTATATATGCATAACAATGTTATACCAAAGTTGTGGCTCAAAACTTTAAAATACATTTGAGTCCTAGAGGAACTTGGACAAAACTTTATTACAACGTAAACATCATTGGATTTATGAATTGAATGCCAACCCAGTGTTAAACAAAACTAATAAGTTTGCTTTTTTAAAAAAATGTATTTTTCTTCTTCCCCTTTTTAGTTGTATATTGTCCTAATCTATAGATTTTCAGATGTGCTTGTATATTTTGTATTCATGGGTATTTTTTCAGTTTAACATATTTAAGGTGCATATTGTGATGTTAGTGGTCCACGGTCATATGTTTTAGCCTTTTTTTTTCCCTCATAGCAATAGTGTAAATATGAGATTTTTAAAATATATTTTTCAAAAATTAATGTCATGGATTTAATGTAATATTATATTATGTTCATCCTAGTAGTCTTTTCTCATGTGACTTCTGGTGTTGGTTTTACTCAGCACTGCCCAGTCCTGCATGTCTGTAACAATGGGTGCAGTTGACTTCCATCTTGAGCTCTATCTCTTGACGGTAGCAGTAGACTGTGGAGCACATGAGGGAACTTTGGGTATCACATGATCCATGTGCTGTCACCCTCCTTGCTTTTAAACAATTAGTGTAGGTACTACCAGACAGTAACACATTAGTAGTCTGATCCAAGTGCACAGTCTATGGGGTCTATTCACTAAGCTGCCGCAGGCAGACGAGTGAATGACCGACCTAAAGCGAAGTGAGCCGAACGCTGTTCGGCTATTCACTTCAGTCTTGTAGGCTGATTTCAGCCGTAAATCGGCTGAAATCAGCCGTACATTGGGTGGCTTCGGGTCGGCCGAACATGCAAAGCTGGATGCTGTCACTACCTATGTCATCTCCATTGCTGCCAACATTTGGGATACAGCTCCTGATACCAATGCGAACATGTTGGACTTCATCTCACAGAGACGGTTCTTATGACAAAGAGTCCCAGATCAAGCACACCCTGACGGTTCCTATGACAAAGAGTCCCTGCAAGCACACTCCTGTTGAGGTACAGTTAGGCTGAGAACACTACATCCCTACACATAGATCAGAGCAAATTGGAGATCCAGTAATATTGTTATCTGATGGTTAACAAAAGCCTTTGGTGCACATAAAGCATAATGGTGTCATATACAGATAATTTTGTCTTATCATTTCCTCCTCCCATGTCTGGAATGTCTCTGAGGGAGCACCAGGCTGTGTTCACCCATGAAAATTGATTTATGCCGTGGTTACCAGGCACAACCTAATCATTTCATAGCTACACAGAAGAGTTCTTATGCCTCTGCAGACCACCTTCTTCACACATTAAATTTTTTTCCAAAATGGAAGAATATTTCCTGCAGTCACAGAACATGTCTTCTGTTACACACATTATGGTGAGAAAAAGGGGCCAAAATGCTATAAGCAGCCCTTACAATTAAAACCTTTTCATCAAGGAAAGCAAAGCAGGTGTATCTCACAGTCTGGCTGTACTCCATTGTCATATTATGTATGTATTGCTAAATTAAAACACATTGGGTGGAATTTATCATAGCAATTGTGAGTGTTTGAACTTGCACCGAATATATTTTACGCACTTTGCGCCTAATCTATGTTGCTAGTGTAATCTTGTTCATAAATGAGGTTAAATAGACTCCATGAAAGAAGATTCGTAACTCCAGGCAAAAAGCTTAACTGTTGCTTCATGAAGAAGTGGTCATAAGTTGCAATTGTTTTGTTAAGTGATGCTCCAGTTTCAGACAGGCGCAGAACAAGTGCAGATAAAAACAGATGCAAAACAGGCACAAAGCATAAGCAATTGGAAAAGTAATGCAAGCTCAGATCAAAACAGGCACAC